TTCCCTACATTTGAATTGTTCTCAGCTGATTCATCATGCACAACACTGAGAACCATCAGTGCCGGCTGCTGCATGGTCCCCTTTGGAAAGGGCTCAAAGTGTACGTGTGTCCACAGACGTAGATATTCTGGTTGTCAGAGGACACACAGTCAACGACGGGGAGCCACATGGCATCATAACTATGGGTCTTGGCTGCTGACTTGGGAGGAGAGGGACGAAAAAAAAGGCCCACAGCCAGGGGTGGATATAGGGGGACACCCTTGCCCATTGCCTCTGCTGTGGTCACTCTTCCCAGCTGAGCCCACCCTGTGCAGCCAGGCTGGAAAGCTCTGCCCCAGGGGACAGTGGAGAACACAGCAGTTGAAGGCAGGGTACAGGGAAGGAGAGGGGAGGTGATGTGCCTTTGAGCAAGAGGGGAAGCTGGGGATTGTTACCTGCATTGGGGACTTGAAGAAAATGCTCAGATTCCCAGGCTGGATCCAATCTGAAACAGGGTTGCAGCTGCACCACTGCACTCCTCTGGATCCATCCCTGGCCACAGCCACTGGACTGTAGTGGTGGCAACTGGAAGTCACCACTGACCTACACATGGCAGCTGGCCTGGGTGCCTGGGTGTGTTGTGATGCCCACCACTGAGTTTCATTGCTTCTCCTTCCCAGAAAGGAGGGCACAGACCGAGGCTCCTGGTTTGAGCAGCACAAGGGCCAAAGGCACTGGGATCCAGGGGACTTGGTTTCCAGATCCCCAGTTGTACCTGGACTTGGGTGCCTGACACCTGTCAAAACTCCAACTAGTGCTCAGGCTGAGCTCTGGGCATGTGAGAGCAGGATACAATGCTCTGACTGGCTGGCAGAGGGCAGCAGCATCTCAGGCAAAACAGCCCCTTTGCAGGTGCTGAGCTGAGAAGTAGGAAGAACAAAGCTGGTTTTCAAAGTCCTGGCCTGCCGCCTCCTCTCTCTCACTAATCTGAGACCTGTGCACTCTCTCTCCTGGGACCCAGTGGGCATGGGCATGTAGGGAACTGGTTGCCTGTACCTCCAGCAAAGTCGTTCTAGCGGCGGTGTGGGGAAATGATGTCTGCACACTGAAGTGGGGGGGG